TTTTGAAGTCATATTTGACTTGTCATAAGCTGCAATAAGAAATCTAAAGTGTTAGAAATTGATTTAGAACATGTTGAATTTTTTGTAAGATTTTTAGTTTCAAGTGAAATTATGGGATTTTAGATGATTAAGTGTGTTAGAGTAAAATAAGTTAGTTTTTATAAGTATAGTTAAGTTTAAAGGCTTGAGAGGAGGTCATAGTGGAAGGTTAAGGGAGTTTGGTCAAATTTCAAGTTGAAACGAGCAAGTTCTGGGTAAGGGGTATCGGTACTGGATGAACAATATCTATACTTCAAAGCAAAAATAGGTGATATCGGGGTCTGGGTATCGATACTGGATGAACAGTATCAATACCATAAGGTAAAAGTTGATGAATCATTTTAAGAGTATCGATACTGAAGGAGTAGTATTGATATCAGGGGTATCGATACCAATGTACAAGTATCAGTACCATTTTTATAAGATGAATTCCAGAATCTAGGAAGGGTATCGATACTGTAGTAAAGTATCGATACCGCAGTAAGGAAGTATCGATACTGTACCTTGGGTACCGATACTATTCAAAGTGAAATGGTGAATTAAGTGCTTCGTTTAGCTTAAGTTATTGGTGATTGATTTATAGTATTATGAATTCTGATATTCATTTAGATCGTATATTTGTGTAGATATTGAACGAAGGCAAGATCCGGATGATTCAAAGTTGTAAGATCGATCTAGAGTGCTTAGTGTTTTGTTTTGACTAAGTGAGGCTAAGGTGAGTGCATACTACTGTAATATATGGTGATATGAGAAATAAGACTTGCGATGAGTCTATCTTCAATGTTAGATTGCATGATTTTATGAATACAAGTATATTATTGATATGGTTTCTATGTGTACATGAGTACATGGATATGTATATATGTTACATGCATTGTTATACATGAGTTATGTGTTACATATTATACTATGTGTTACATGATCTAAGTGGATATATGAGAAAATTATATAAGCTATGTGATCATGAGCTATGTGAATACATGTCTATGTGATAACCTATGTGAACTGGTATAATTGACCTATGTGATTAAATGAAAAATTGAGATAAGCTAAATAACATTGACCTATGTGATTTCATGAGAATATGATATAAGCTATGTGTTATTGACCTAAGCGATTATATGAACATATGGTATAAGATATGCGATAAGGATCTATGTGCTTATATGTCTATGTGATACAAGCTATGTGAAATATGTAAACGGTAAAGCCCAAAAGTATGTGATATGAGAGCTAAGGGTATAATTGGCATGCCAAGAGTCGAGGGTTTATGCAGTCCTTCGGGATAATTATATGTGGTCTTTCGGGACATTTCTACGTGGTTTTTCAAGACAATACTATGTGGTCCTTTGGGACATTTCTATGTGGCACTTCGGTGTAATTTATACGAGTTGTGGTGACAACATTAGTGCACAACCATAATGCACTCACATACCTTAAATTCTTAATGATGTACCATGAGCTATTAAAAGAAAATATATAATGAACTGCGATAATGATAATAATAGTGACAATGATAATAATGTTGATAATGATATTGATGATGCTGATGATGATAATGATAATGATGTTGATGAATATATATATATATATGTGTGTGTGTGTGTGTGTGTGTGTGTGTGTGTGTGTGCACTTATGCTTTTGTTATATGATGTGTTCTATAGTTTATTTACATGATTGTATTAAATGCTTAGAATATGATTAAGTGATGAAATGTTTTATTATACATTTTATATGTCTCACTAAGTCAATGACTTAGCGTGTGAGTGTTTCACACATAGGTTCAGAGAAGCAAGAAGATTAAAGTTAAGAGTCAAGACAAAATAAACCTTACGAAGATCATATTAGAAAAGATTTAACAATATGTGTTTTGTTGTATTAAATATGATTGGCATGTAATTAAAGGTTAAATCATATATGCTCTGATCGGTTTTGTAAAACCATGTGACTGTATTTAATGTAAATTATTCAGTTTTATTTTAATGTGAATTTAAATTTTCAACTATCTTGTAAAAGTAAATGATTTGAAAAGTCAATGTGACACCTCGGATTCGTATCTGGGTCAGATACAGGTTGAGGGTGTTACATTAGACGCATGAATTATTTGTCCCAATAGGTTAACTAAAAATTTAATTTGCAATTTACGACAAATGTTATAGTAAAGGACAAATTCAGCATGTCGAGATGACAAGTTTGTTTGAAAATATTTTTTAATGGTCTCAGGTATGTGGGCTTTATGTAGGTCAATATTTTAATATATTTATTGAAACTCATCACATCGATGTGATGTGTCCATTAAAAATTAATTTTTTTAAAAGTCATTAAATAATTTTAAAAAATAAAAAAACTACAAAACTCGTTACGTTGAAGTGACGAGTTTGCCTTGAAATTTTAAAGAAACTAACCATTGTGCGACAAACAACTTCTTAAATTTTTTTAAAATTAACCGTTGAAACTCGTCACGTTGACGTGATAATTTTTATCTAATATAATTTAAAACATATATTAATTAAAAAGTAATATTAAAAAAATTAAATAAATACAAAATAATTTTATTACAAAATAATAATAAAAGAGTTATTATAAACTAATACAATGCATAATAAAATTTATTTATATTTCGTAGTTCTTGACGATGTCGAGAAGTGGTCAAATGATAATGGTGTGGGACTCGTTGAGTATGTCGGGGTTGTCTGCCTTGATCGCCTTCGTCTTCATCTTTGTTTGCTTCTTGAAGAGGAGGTGTACTGAACTTCACTCTACGTTGAGATCCATCTTCGAAATAGGGTGATGGATACTTATGGTAGTTGATGCCATCATTGCTTTCATTGACTCGGCTTAGCTACCTTGTTGACCATATATAATATGATCTCATTCACCCTCATTCGCATGTTTTGTCGTAGATGCTTCAGTGCTTTGCATTGCATTCCATGAATCTCGAACCCAATTCAGTTGAGTCTCCGTTGAAGCATGATATGGAGGATAAAAATCAAAACTGGTCTGAGATGGAAAATAATCGGTTGAAGCATAAGATGAAGATGTCGATGATGATTTCTAGGCCTTTGTGAATTTGACATTTCCTTGTTGCCATTCTTCCCTCTCTTACGGTGACATTAAATATGATTTCTCATTTGCTTCATAATTTTAGATGTGGGGAAAAATGTAAAAATCAAGGTCAACGGGTGTAATCATCATAAAGCATAGGGACCGATAAATGAAGCTGATTCCATTGCTTAGTGCAGACAACATGCTTCCTTGACCAATTATCTTTATGCTTCTCACGCGTATCAATTATATGGAGCGCGTCCATATCAAATATTTGCGTAGAAATTGGTTGATGAGAACACAAATTGTCGCAACACTCTATGAAATGCATCTCAACAATAACAAAGTGTAACAAAGGCATAACGACACACCACAACTCCGAGTATTCAAAAAACATCCTGATGGCAGTAATCGATAGATCTCATCGTCATAATACGACATCCAAGAAAACTATAAATATTAATAATAAAAATTAGTATAAATAAAGTGAAAAAAATTTAAACAAGTTAGGATCCAAGGAAACTTAATCGAGGCTGCTATAATTGGCGTAAAAATGGGAACCCGTACCACACCCAAGATTCTAACATGATTAGACAGCCTGTTATATCAACTTTTTGACCTCATTCGATGATTGTAGTCTTGTAAAGTTTCCGGTATAAAAAAAGCTAAAATCATTAAGCCCCACCTATTGTTGCAATACTCAGTAAAATTCTCCAATATCGGAAGATACTGAATGTGCACCAAATTACTAGATTTATCCAATAACAATATCCCTCCGATCAACTGGAGCAGATACACTCTGGTTGTAAAAATAACCTCATCCTTGGTAGAGTCGTTTGTTACATTAAATTCTGACTCTTTAGGATCTCTGATGGTAGCATCTTTCCCAAAACTTGGTGCACAATTTTGAATCGACTGAAATCGTTGTGCATTACTAGTGTCGCACCATTAACCGGAACACCGAGTTGATAAGCGACATCTTTTAACGTAATTGTTGCTTCACCATTCGAGAAAAAAAAAGCATGCATCTCAGGCCTCCAACATTCAATTAGAGCCGAAATCAATGTTATATTCACCTAAAAACCACGCAGAAATGTCACTAGATATAACCTGGATTGTTGAAGATATATAGTAATCTGCTGATGCAGATCTCTCAAAGTCATTTCTCATTGATAAATGACTCGTTCTTCTTTCGGACCAAGTTCAAACGAAGAAATATGAACAACATCAAGGCATAATATTTCATCTCGAGTAGGTATTTTTCGAGAATTTTCAAAATATTCGTTTTCTCTCAATTTGTTTCTTAACAAAACACAATAAACACTCTAAACCCCAAACCCCTATTTATAACCACAAACACAACGATCATAAACGACTAGTTTTTGTAGTTTTTTTTTTCAAAAATCCCAACAAACTCGTCACCTTGAGGTGAGGAGTTCCATGTTGACTGTTGCAATTTGACCGTTGCAACTATCTATTGCAATTGCCCGTTACACAACGACTGTAAATAGTTAGTTTTTTTTTTAAATCCAATGCAAACCCATCACCTAGACATGACGATTTTATTAGTATTTTTTAATTTTTTTAAAATTTTAAATTATTTAATGAATTAAAAAAAGTAATTTCTTAATAGACTCATCATTTCGATGTGACAAGTTTTAGTGAATATATTAAAATATTAGTACACATAGAAATATATCTATAAATAATAAAAATATTTTCAATCAAACTCGTCACATATACGTTATAAATTTATCTAGATTATAAATTAAATTTTTAGTTAGCCTATTGAGCAAAATAATTCACGCGCTTGCCAGGCTTCTTAAAACCCATAGAATATAAGGGCTGGACTTTGAAATGAGAACTTGAGGCATTACTCTATAACTGAAACACTAGATCGCTCCTCTTCCCCATATATACAAACAATTCCGCTTAAGTCTCTCCCTCGCTTCTTAACCCTAGGGTTTACACCACCCGCCGCATACCCCAGCAGCGTTCCCATCACCAGGTAAGGTTTTTTTTATTGGATTTATTACTTATATTGGACTTCCAATTCTCATCTGAATATTCAAATGCCTTCCATTTGCACATTGGCTTTTATTTGATTCATTCCTTGATAGGAAGAAATGGCTGTCCCTTTGCTGTCGAAGAAGATCGTGAAGAAGCGTGTTAAGAAGTTCAAGAGGCCTCAAAGTGACCGCAAGATCTCCGTCCAGGTTATAACATAACCAAATATATCCTCTTATCTTATTTTTTTAGCTGTAATTGGTTTTACCGGGTTTATTTTACTGTGATCCTAAAATCTTTGTCGGTAGATCTCCCTAGCTGAAAGAACGTGAATTTCTTTTCCCTTTGAATGTTTTATAAAATTGAGGTTATAGAGAACAGAAATAACCGATTCGGGATGCCTCCATGAAGTATTTTTGCTTGAATAATATAACTTGTTACAGGGGATGCTAGTGGACTCCTTAGTATAATTTTCTGGATGCCTTGAGAGATTTATTTTGTTAAAAATTTTCATGTTGATGGAACAGGTTTGAATTCGTTAAATTTACTTCTGATTAAATGGGAGAATATTAGCAGAACTAGTGTTGCATGCATCTTGCTGTTTTTATCCTGCAATGAATTCTGTTCACCATTAAGATCGTGAAGACTAGGTGTGGCTCCTTTTGGTGTGCATAAGGAATTTTATGAATCGATAGGTTCTTGTTTTATTGGTTTTGTGTGGAATAATATTTGTGTAGAAGCAATCCCTACCATCTTGTTTATGTACTTTTTTTCAAGCGTAGCCTCAATAATCTCTTCTATTTAACTAGGTGAAGCCATAACAAGCGTGGAAATCTTTTTGTCTTTCGAGTGTTAGATTCATGCTGGGTAGAGTTTTTGGATAAATGAATATGCAACTTTATGATTAGTCAGGATGTCTATCCGATCTCCTAATTGTTTTTCTGCTCAAGTGTTTGAGATGAAACAGCGAAGGTTGATTGTCCTTTTTGTTTAAGTGCTTTTAGATTAGACTCTTTCCTTTTAGTCTGTCATATTTGGATGTCCGTGACATGCTTCTGATATATCCTGTGGTCTTGATAGATACCTATGGCAGCATTTCGGTGCAACTTGGTTAGATGGTTTAACGTGGCTAATAAAACACGCAAGGTGTTCCTCAATATTGTTAAAAAGTTGTTTACATTTTTGCAGACAAACTGGCGAAGGCCCAAGGGTATTGACTCCCGTGTTAGGAGGAAGTTCAAGGGATGCACTTTGATGCCCAACATCGGTTATGGCTCAGACAAGAAGACTCGTCACTATCTCCCCAACGGGTTTAAGAAATTTGTTGTGCACAATGTCCAAGAGCTGGAGCTTCTGATGATGCACAACAGGTATAATACTATAATATATGATGTTTAGCCCTTTTTCTCATTTTGCATTTTCTATCTTGTTGCTGATTGTTACTGCATTCTCAGGACATACTGTGCTGAGATAGCCCATGATGTTTCAACAAAGAAGAGGAAGGAAATTGTGGAGCGAGCAGCTCAGTTGGATGTTGTCGTTACCAACAAATTGGCTAGGTTGCGCAGCCAGGAGGACGAGTGAGAGTCGGTTCATGAGTGTTGATTTTGCTGTTTTTTCATATGATATTTTGTTGTTTAGGAAATATGCACTTTTCGTCCAATGTTTTCAAGTATTATTTTTACTTATGGTTGAATATAAACCCCCGTCTAATTTAAAGTATCGTTGATGTTTTGAGGGATATATTCTTTGGCCATGGTTTTAAAACTTGATTAACAATCGCATTCTAGTTTAATATAAAATTTAATTTCAAATTCTAACTTTTAGTTTAAATGAACTTAAAAATACAAAATCCCTATATTGTGTACCTTTTCTATATAGAAAGCGAAAGGAATAGTTCTTCATAAAAATAAAATTCAAATATCAACATTTAATTAAGATCTATATAACTCCATTGTAGCCCAACTTAAGTCTTCCTATTTGTTTCATTTAAGTGATTATAATTTTAATTTTTAAAAATTTATCTAATATTTTAGATCTACACATTGATCCACATGTTAATTTATCATTCATATTTGACCCATTTGCATTTTTTTAATAGTACATATAAAAGATTTTGCCTGTCAATTCAAATAAAAGAAATATTCTTTTAAATTTTTAAATAATATACATAAAATTTTGGTTTATTTATTTTAAATAATGTATAAGATTTATACTTAATATTAAACCATTGTAATAAATTTAATTTAAATAATTAATAAAAATAAATAATCATTTCATAAAATAAATTTGAATAAAATTAAATTCCAATTTTATTAATTGAACAAATAAATAAATAATATATATATAGGGTTAACTACACGTTGATCACTTATCTTTCAGTTTTGTCCACTTTTGGTCACTAATTTCAAAATACATAAGATATGGTCACTTTCATTTTTATTTAATTAAGATGTGGTTACCCCGAGTTGAATGCTGTTAACAACAGTTAAATATTTTTGATATAATCACACATCTGGTCCCTGTTATTACTTATTCTCTCAATTTAGTCACACTTTTAATAAATTAAAATAAATTTAAGCATCCAATCGAACGATGCCACAGTCATGCCAATAATGTTGTCCAAAACTACCTGACCCGATTGAGCTAACCCATCAACCCAATTAAAAAATATCAGGTATTTATAATAAAAATACATGATTTTTTGGGTTGAGTACCCGACCAGGTTTCTGGGTCGAGCATGGGTTACAAAATGTTGGTTAACCGGGTACCCTCTAACTCGATACTCGATTTAATATATATTTTCATTTTTATTTTATATTAATTTTTATTCATAATCATCAAATTATTTTACTCTAACATTCTAAAATCCTAATTTCTTAAATTTAGACACTATAACGTTCTAAATTCTATTTTTTTAAAATTATTTCACATTAACGTTCTAAATTGTATTTTAAAATATTTATTTTAACTTCAAAATATTTGAAATTTAATTATATTTCTTTAATTTAAATTTTAATATAAATTTTATTTCAATTATTTAATTTGAATTTTTGAACTTTAAGTGTGGATTATATATATTATAGACTTTTAAATTTTAGAATCTTTTATATAAGTTTTAAAAAATAATATAATTTAAAGTGAAAATAAAAAATTATGAACCGAGTACCCGTGACCCGAATTATATATAATATAATTTTTATATATTAACTTAAAATATTTTTATATTAACTTATTAAATATATTTTACTATTAACTTTAATTTAAAAATATTTTATTTTTATTTTCATTTTAAAATATATAATTTATTTTAATTTATTAAAAGTATGACTAAATTAAGAGAATATGTAAATAACATGGACCAAATGTGTGAATATATTAAAATATTTAACTGTTGTTAACGGCTGTTAGCTCCGAGTGACCAAATCTTGTTTAAATAAAAACTTAAGTAACCATATCCTATGAATTTTGAAATCAGTGACCAAAAGTGAACAAAACTAAAAGATAAGTGACTAACCATGTAGTTAACCCATGTATATATATAAGGTTGCAAATAAGTATTTTACGAAAGAAGAAAACACTAGATTCTTGTTCAGGAGATCAAAAGAGATAAAATAAAATTTTGAGCTCTAATCACCACAAATGATGATAGATATCAATGATAAGTGATGGTCGATGCATAGAATATTGATCAAATTTTGTGATTAAATTGATATTTCGTTTAAAATTTAAAATTAAATCGATATTCTATTTAAAGTTCAAAAATTAATTAGAAATTAATCATTTTTAACTTAACATATCGTCTAAGTATCGATACTTAATACTTTAATAATCAAAATGTAACAAATCATGACATATACAATCACAATATAACTTTTATAAAATTGATGATTAGAACTAAAAAATGATATAAATATTATAAACTAGTTTACCCTAATTTTATTTAAAATTTTATAGAAATATAAAAACTAACAGCATATTTATGATAATATTTATTTATTTTTAAATCTTTTGATATGAAAACTAACATCATATTTGTTCATACTATAAAAATTATTGATATAAAAATTGATCACGAGTTCAAATAATAATAATATTTTTAATTGAATTGACACTCAAATAATTATTGATATAAAAATTAATCACAAGTTTAAACATTAATATAATAAAATTAAGGGTAAACTACATATTTAGTATCTCAACTATCACTTTTATTCTGTTTTAGTCATCTAATTATTTTTCTTCAAAATCATATCTAATTTTATGTTTTGGTCATCAAAAAATTAATAGAACTTGTGACATGACACTTTTTTTTTTATTTTTTTAATGATGACGTAATATTATCTTATGGTTACGGTAACATGTATGTTAAAAGAAACAACGGGTGATCAAAATGAAGCGAACACTAAATGTTAGGTATGATTTAAAAAATGGTTGATTGACCAAAACGAAACAAAAGTGATAGTTGTGGTACTACCCTTATAATTTACCCTAAAATTTAAAAAATAAAGAAAAGCTATATTTCATTTATATATATATATTTTGACAAACCTATATTACATAAGATTTCTATATAGAAAACGAAAGGAATAGTTTTCTATAAGAAGAAAATTCAAATATTAAGATTTCATTTAGATCTTTATAACTCCATTGCTTAAGACTTCCGATTGTTTCCCTTTTGGCTTTAGCATTTTCTTCCCCAAACATTTATTCTTTCCCTTCGAACCGCCTTTTCTTCCATAAAAAAATCAATCGAAACATAGAACCCAAACTTAAATATCAAACAATTTAACCAGTTCATCTGGATTTTCACATTGATCTAACTTTTTTTTTAAAAAAATCGAATGGAAAACCAGTTTTTCCTCCCCGCTCAAGGAATCTCACCATCCGGACCGCCATTGGAGTTTGGGCAGTCCCTAACTTCAGCCATGGAAACCCGAGCACAGGAGCTGAGTTCATCAGATTACGGTCTACAGTTCGAGTCAGCACTGAGTTCAATGGTGTCTTCTCCGGCAGCATCGGCTTCCAATGTCTCCAACGACATATTCATGGTGTGGGAATTGCTCGGTAAATTGGGGAGCATTGATAACTCCGGCGAGATCTCCCCTCACCCTTTGATGGCTTCTCCTTATGTTAATGGAAATAACAACAGCACGAACACTTCTTGTTACAGCACTCCATTGAATTCTCCTCCCAAATCAATGGGGATGAATTCCAGCATGGCGGATCTCTCAGCCGATCCAGGATTTGCAGAGAGAGCAGCGAAATTCTCTCGTTTCGGGAGCAGGAGTTTAAATGGTCGAGCGATTCAATTCGGAACCAACAACAATTATGATGAAATCTCTGCTTATAGATCTAATCCATCGTCTTCGAATGGCAAGCTACCTCGTGTTTCCAGTAGTCCTTTAAAGGCAATGGCATCTCAAATCGGCAATAAGAACAATACCCCATTGCAGGATCGATACGAGTTAGCCAATTCTCAAGAGGAATCTTCCATCTCCAATGGCGGTCCTGGTTCGAAGGGGGCGAATTCTAGGAAAAGAAAAGCAGTTCCCAAAGCCAAAACAAACGAGAATTCAACATCTCCATCAACAAATGCTGCAAAGGTAACAGAATGTCAAACAATCCCAGTATCCATTTCATTTTAGAGCACTCAGTAATCATCTATGTCATAACCATTTTTTTTAAAAACAATTAAATAGTATTTTTAAAAACAATTATGACTTTAATTTGGAAAATTTGGTGATTTTGAATGGATTTGAATAAGATTGAAAAGAGTCGCCATTGACCTTTGGGTTAGGTAGGTCAAATACCTAAAAACGTCTTTTAAAAATAATTTTAAGAAAAATAATTTTATAAGACAAAAATTTGGTCTACGTTACCAAAGATTCATTTAAAACAGGTTCGGGAGTCGGTTACGTGTGGGGAAGGGTAAACACCCCCACAACGCCCAAAATTAGTACTGTGTAGCTTACACATCGTCGTAAATGGTGGAAATTACAAATTGAATATAAAACTAAAATATGATTTGTTTATTGAGATTTAATTAATTTACTTCGAATTATTTTATCAGAGAAAATTCTTTAATTTGAAAAGAAATCTCGAGATTAACAATCCTCCGTCGGGAAAATTAACTCGTCTATTTCTTATCTTTTAAAGAATATTCTCTCATCATTTATTTGAAACGTGTATCGAATATAAAATGAAAATTTAAAATTTACATTCACATAAAATAAAGTGAGCGTCACTTAAGGTACCACACATTACATCATTTTAATAAATTAATTAGTAAAATATACTCGACTTGTTACAAGTCCCTATGTCGTTAAAATGCCGTATCGGATCGTACCACTTCGACCAAGTGGTACTTTCCACGCCCATTCTACGCATACGTGTTCTTGAAAATATAATCGAATATTTCTTACATAGATAAAAATATAATGAAAATAAATGTGATTGGAAATACAAAGAGTTATATTAAATTAAAGTAAACAGAATACCAATAATCATCTAATGAGTAAAATGCACATCCATACATAAATGGCTAAAATACAAATTAGTAAATATTACAGACCAAAATAAATATTAAAACATTTAAGGGGCTAAAATATAATTAAAAAATATTAAAAAACAGTAAAACAAATAAACCATAAATCATATTAGGGACCAAAATGAAATGAAAAAAACATAAAGAACTAAACCACAATTAAGTCAAATGTTAAACAGGGACTAAAACGAAACATGCATAAAATAATATGGCCAAATTCGAACTCTAATAAAAATGTAATAATAAACCAGATAAGGACTAAAATATAATGAAAGTAAAATAAACAGACATTAATCGATATTTAACCCAAAATATGAGAGTAGTGATCAAGATAAAAGTTTCATAAATAAAGAGTACAATGTCTAAACTTTCAAAAATATTAACAATAACCAGTCCAGTGACCAAAATGAAGAAAAACATAAATCACATGTCCAAATTCGAAGATCATAAAACATACATAATATATAAACTAGTGATTCAAATAAAACAAAATAAAACTATAGGCTCGAAATAAGATTGCATGGATTTCATTTAGTGATCAGATTACAACCCTTACAAAAGCTTGAGGGACCTAAAATGTGATTAACCCTAAATATAAAAACACAGAATGGGGGAGGGACCGAAACGGTGCGTTCCATTCGGTGGTTATAAACCACCTTAAGGGTTGAGAAACCTAACCCTTCTCATTTCTTCTTTCTCAGCCGCAGACTCAACCCGTGGGAGAGAACTCTCCCTTGGCTCACCGCCATGGGAGGTGACCAAGCCTCCTGCAACCGCTAATCAGTGGCCACTAAACCTAAACCGATCAACCATCCCCCACGAACGACCTCTCCTTTGAAACCCGACCTCTAGAACCCAAACCCACAACTTATACCACCCGAAACCAACCCCCCCCAAAACCAGAAAAACAAAGGCTTTACCTTCAGATATGGGGCTAGCTGGGATCGGAGAAGGTCACAGCGAGATTCACGGTGGTGGTTAGAGAAGGTAAAACTTTTCTTTCTTCTCTTTTTTTTTTTTGTTTCGAATTTCTCTCTGTATTTTTTCATTTTTTTCTTTTCTTTCTGGTTTCGTTTCCTTGATTTATGTTGAGTATTTGGTGAGATGATGATATCTAGAAAAAATAGGAGATGGGTCTCACTGACTTTTCATGATTACATCCCGATTTTTCGGGATTTAATATGTTTTTAAATGGATTCTCGGATTTAGGCTACTGTAGATGAAATATATACTGATTTGGTGATATGTTTCACTGTAGATGACGATGGTGGTGGGGTAACAGTGACTAGATCATTGGAGTGGACCGGAACTTGCGGCGGCGGCGTGACATTTCCTCTGTTGAGGGCGACGGCTACTGAACGGTTAGGGCTTCAGACCTAAATGGCCTTTGATCTGGACCATTGGATGGGTCCAGATCAGACGGTCTTGATGGTGCGGCGCTGAGGCAGAGAAGGGGTAACCCTAACGGGTTTGGGCCGATTGCTGGGCCGCAGGTCTGGGTTGTTGGGCTCCGGGATTGGGCCTTTGTAATCTGAATTGGGCTTCTAAGCCTGCAAAAAAATGTAATATGTAAAATTAATAATAATAGTTAATAATAATTAATAATAAAAAATAATAATAAAATAAAAATAAAAATAAATATAAAAGACCCGGACAAAAACGGGTGTCCACAGCTGCCCCTCTTTGCACATACTTGTGTTAACAAGAACAGTGCAAAGACGACAAGACAACACGTTTTTGTCTGGTTCTCCCTCTCAAACTTAGAAATTGAGTAATGTTGGTTGTTGGGGACGACACTGCTCATACGTGATGAAGAGTTCGGGTCGTCTAAGGGAAACACGATTCCTACGTGATGAAGAAATCTGGTCAAGGGATGACACGGCTCATACGCGATGAAGAGTTCTGGTCATCTTTAAGAAGGGTGATAACTCGGTTCCTACGTGATGAGGAAATCTGGTCAAGGGATGACACGGCTCATACGCGATGAAGAGTTCTGGTCATCTTTAAGAAGGGTGATAACTCGGTTCCTACGTGATGAGGACGGCTGATTATCTAAGGTTGACACGGCTCCTACGTGATGAGGAAGTCTGGTCGTCTAAGGGTAGATGACATGGTTCATACATGATGAAGAACTCTGGCCATCTTTAGGAAGGGTGATAACTCGGTTCCTACGTGATGAGGACGGCTGGTTATCCTAATGTTGACACTCTCCTATGTGATGAGGAGATCTGGTCAGTTGATGTTGACTGATTCATTGCTTCAATAATGAAATAAGTCTTGAAGATCCTGTAAAAATGGTCATATGCCATGATTTCATGTTATCAATATGCTCTAAGAATGATCTAAATGCATGTTTAAAGGGTTATGCTCAGTTCGTTCCTGGCATTGAGACTCTCTCATACTCTTTGATCGAAACATGCGATATTTATGCGTTTATCCATGCTTGGTTACTTTCTTGACCTCTCATTAAATATTCTTTGACTTGGTCCTTCTGATCTACCCCGAGAGAGTTTATCTTGCCTCTTTGATTCTTTGGTCATTGATTGATTTTTCAGAGAAAATTCATTCAGAATGGCCTCTCCTTGTTGCATGCCTTTAAATTGGGACTTCTTTGCTTGAGAAAAGTATGATTATGTTGAAACTGATTTCTTTAATCTGAACCCTTTTTTTCAATGGTTTGCTCAATGATTTATGGGAGCGTGTCTTTGTATGTGTTCTCTGGCGAACACCTGTTTCAAAATCCCCATACTCTAACATTTTTCAGAGTAAGGCATAATAACCGATGTTATTGATTAGTAATTTGGTGAATATATGCGAGGATATTGAATCAACTTCAAAAATTTCACTGAAGATAGGTAATGAGAAAGTACAATCTTTTGGGACAAGAAAACAAGTATATACAAAGGAAAAACAATGGACAAATATAGTGAATATCAAATGCTGAGTCCTTCTATTTCTTCACCCCAAATCTTTCTCGAAAGTTGACATGTGTTTCGAAGATTCAGATCGTACAAAAGATGTGTGAGCATGAGAGTCTTTCCCTAAACTGTTAGGCTTCCGAGGGAATCCACCATTTCAATTTCTGATTATTCGAGCCGTCCATTACGGATTTTCAACTCGAATCCTCCTTTGGTTTCAAGATGCCCATTTTGGGTTTTCATCTTGAACCCTCCTTTATTTATTTTCTTCTTTTTCATTTTTTTTAAGTGTAATATCGTTTGACCGAATCTGAATTCACGGGATTAGGCAAATCTTCCCCATCCATTTCTGTTAACACCAAAGCTCCTCCTGAGAATGCCTTTTTTACAACATAGGGACCTTCCCAGTTCGGCATCCACTTCCCTCGAAAGTCTTTTTGCATAGGTAAGATCTTTTTTAGTACCAAATCGCCTTCACGAAATTCTCGAGGTCTGACTTTCTTGTCATATGCTTGTATCATCCTTTTCTGGTACATTTGGCCATGGCAGATAGCTCTCAGCCTTTTCTCCTCAATCAAATTTAATTGATCAAACATACTTTGTACCCAATCAGCCTCGTCCAGTTTCAACTCCATCAATACTCTCAAAGAAGGTATTTCCACCTCAACAGGTAAAACTGCTTCCATCCCATATACCAAAGAGAATGGTGTTGCCCCAGTAGATGTACGAACGGACGTGCGATAAGCAAGCAACGCAAAAGGTAATTTTTCATGCCAGTCCCTATATGTTTCAGTTGCTTTTGTGATGATCTTCTTGATGTTTTTATTCGCTGCCTCTACTGCCCCATTCATTTTTGGGCGATAAGGAGCCGAATTGTGATGTTTGATCTTTAACTTTGTGCAAACTTCCTTCATTAAATCGTTGTTCAAATTCAATGCATTATCTGTGATGATCCTTTCAGGTGTTCCATATCTACAAATGATTTCTCTTTTTAGAAATCTGCACACTGCTCCTTTTGTGACATTAGCATAAGAGGCAGCTTCAACCCATTTGGTGAAGTAGTCTATAGCCACTAAGATAAAACGATGTCCATTTGAGGCCTTCGGTGAAATTGCCCCAATGACATCGATGCCCTACATTG